GTTTTGTTTTTTCTGATGGGCATTGTGGTGCACGTGAGCTAGTGAGACGAGCACTTTTGAACCAGCAGGTGATGCTGTCTCCAGAAATTCTGTCCCAAGCCATTTATGTAGCATTATGCTTTGTTTTTGTTTTAAAAATTTATCCCAGGGGGTGGGGGGCATGTATCTGTAATTTCCACAGTGTAACTACCTTATTGTATTTGCTATTTTGAAGTCAAACCCCCAGGAAAAATGGCTAAGTCTGTGTTAAATTGTTTTTCCTCCTTTTTTCCCCAGTTTAGTAAAGGTCACATGTGTTTTCCACAAACAGTAACTTTGTTGTTCAAAGTAACGATATGTCAAAGTGTGCCCCATGAAAGGAGACAATTTAAAAGAACTTGGATTTTAAGGAAATTGCCTCTTTCCTCAAGGACAAATTTTTAAATTTCCTGACTTATATTCAGGCAAATATGGTAATTGGAGTAGAAGTTTAAAAAGGACAGGAAAGGATAGTAAAATAGCAGCTTGATGCTGCTGATTTGCTTAAAATGTCATGGTTCCTTTTCCCCTCTTAACCTGAAGGATTTTAAGCCATGTTAGAAGTTGGTTGCTCCGTGGGTCCGGGCGTGGTGGCTCATGCCTGTAATCCCAGCACTGTGGGAGGCTTGCTTGAGCCCAGGAGTTTAAGACCAGCCTGAGCAACATAGCGAGACCTTGTCTCTAATAAAAAAAAATTGCTCCAAGTTTCCTACCCTTCTGTTTTGCAGGATTTTGTATAAATTGGATTTTTAATTCCTTTACTCACTTAGCATCCACGGTTTTTTATAAACTGATTTCTTACATACACCTTTGTCTTCAACATACACAGCCAACCTCGCTCAGAAACTGTTCCCCCCCTTTTGCAAAACCAGCACTTCATACTGGGACGTCACTCTGAATGAAAACACGGTGTCCGAACAGAAATCTCCAGCGTGTCATTGGGCAGTGGTAGTTCTCAGCCCGTCGGCATCTGGAGGATGAGGGGACTAACCCAGGCAGGGGTCACGTGCCTGGCACATGGCGTGTGTGTTGCAGCTGTCAGTCACTGAGATGCCTGGAGGGAATGAGGGGGAGTGGGAGGGGGCAGCGTGGGGGCTTGGTCTCGGAGGTTGGCTCAGAATAGGGGAGACTCGTATATGCTTCAGGGCCCAGGAACTCCCCGTGGAGTGGAGTTCATGCAGAACTAAGGACTGGCGTGGGTCTTGGCTGGTGGATGAATCGAGCACCCAGGCGCTTAGCAAAGGCTAGCAGGTGGGAATACGGGTGAGACCAGAAGGGGGTTTTGGGGGATGATGGCGAGGTACAGAGAACATCATGAAGAACGGCAGCCCGTGCCCTGGTCTAGATTCGAGTCCTCTTTCCTCCCTGTCTCCCTCCTTCCTTCCTTCCTCCCGCTGTTAACTCTGTCTCACACGTGCTGATCCCCAGGGTGCCGTGCAGACAAGGTCCTCGGCCTCTAGTCTGTAGTCTAGAGCGGAAGAGAGAGACTCCAGACCCGTGGAACAAGCACCCTGCACTGGCACGACAGGGCGCTGGGAGAGCACCCCGGGCACAGAACCCAGACTGGGGGTTGGAGAGAGCATCCTAGAGGAAGCGACGTCTGAGCTGAGGCCTTGCAGACAAGGGGCGTGAAGCCGAGGAAAGGCCGAGGAGGGTGGCCTTGCAGGCCAATGCACCCCACGTAGGTTTTCCGGCCATTTCCAGGGTCTCGCGGCCCACCTGGCATCAGCTGGTATCTCTTCCACCGCTCCACTAGAATGCTCCTCCCCTCCTAGCAAATCTTGTCTTCCCTCGGCCCTCAGAGCCTGTGACGTTTCTGCAACTTCTGATGCCGTCGCCTCCTGCTTTTCTTCCCCCGTCTCTGACATCCATTCTCTGCCACCGAAATGTAGGCGTTCAGGGTCTGGCTGTGACCTCGCAGCTTGGCCTCCACTGCCACTTCCAGAATCACTTTCACATCCATATTTCCGTCTCCTGCCCTGGTGTCTCCCAGGGAGCAGGACCATGTTTTCAACTCCCACGAGTATCTCAACGTCATTGTGAGGGAGCCTGGCCTCACCGTCTCATCATCACCTCTTCAAAACTTGCTCTGCACTTCACCTCCTTTTGCTCATCCCTTAGTGATTGCACCTCTGCGTGGCTCTTGCTTCATCCCCCTCCTCTCCCAGAGTGTGCGGGGGGGGGGGGTCTCATTAACCCTTGCCTCCCCTGTCCCTGTCACCTGGCCTCCACACTGTCCCTTATCCCCATGTGTCCCACACCCTGCAGCCTGATCCTAGACACCTCTGAGGATGGCCTGCTTCTGATGAGAGCCCCTTGGTGACTCCCCATTGTCTGTGAAATGACATCTGGCTCCGGGGACAAGCCTCAGTCTGTTTCCCTTCCCATCTCCCTCTTGTCCCTCTCGTTGCCTTTGCTTAAAACCAAATGCCTCTTTCTTCCAAATCCCCACTCAGCAGGGCCCATCTCAAACATCTTTGTCTCCAAGAAACCACCTCTCACTTTTTTTGTCAAAAGAAATCTCTCCTCTCTGACTTCACCTGAACCTGCCTGTTGGACCTCATCTTCTTCTACCTCACATTTTGGTTATCTGAGTGGACTCCCTTTCCCCAGCGTAGCATCTTGAGGTCAAGGGTTCGTGTTTTCATGCTTTTGTGTTTGTATACAGTCTCCAATAAGGGGCTTATACATAGTAACTGCTCAATAAATAGGAGTTAAGGAAAGGCATGAGCATCGTTTCTGTAAGACCAAAAAATGTACAAACATCAGTCTTTCCTGATTTCACTCTTAGAAAACTAATGTACAAAGTAGCACAACCTACCAATCCGAGCCAAGAACACAGATCGTAGATATGCCTCTAAATTCTGTCTTTATCAGCCTTTAAGGTGATTCTGAGTCAGGTTCCCTGTCTGCAGCACGGGGATAATTTTGGCCAGACGTGGTACCTTGGTAAAATTTTCTCCAGATGATGAGAAATGAAGTCAGATATGCCATGAGAGATAGTTTCTACTTACAGAAAAGTTTGTGTTTTAGCAGGGACCTCAAATACCACAAAAATCTGTCAAGTTCTAACGTTTGTGTATCTCGACACTACCTGAAGTTCCTGTTTCTGTTTTCTCAGCCCAAGTTTCCAATTCGGTGAGCAGAACCGTGACTGTGTTGATAAAAGAGTGTACACACCTGCCCGGTCCTGCTGGAGTGTGCAGATGTGAAAAGGCAGGTCTCCACACGACCTGTGCAGTAGTACGTAGTGGCCTTGTTGTCATGGGCTTCTGGGTTTAGCCTTGTAAAAGTAAAAGTTTGCCTAGAGAGAGATTTCTGTGCCTTCAGAGACTTCCTATAACTCTTATACACACATTCTGTCTCTCTCGGACACACACACATACATACACACTCCTCACTGAATTAGAGAAATGTGAGAAGAGAGTACAACTTCAACTACATGAACAAAAATCATAGGAATTATGGTAAGCAGTTTGCATTTTTGTTCCAGTAAAGACAGTGTTGAGGGCCGGGCGCGGTGGCTCACGCCTGTAATCCCAGCACTCTGGGAGGCCGAGGTGGGCGGATCGTTTGAGCTCAGGAGTTTGAGACCAGCCTGAGCAAGAGCGAGACCCCGTCTCTACTAAAAAAAATAGAAAGAAATTGGCCAAACAACTAAATATAGAAAAAATAAAATTAGCCAGGCATGGTGGCACATGCCAGCAGTCCCAGCTACTCGGGAGGCTGAGGCAGGAGGATCGCTTGAGCCCAGGAGTTTGAGGTTGCTGTAAGTTAGGCTGACGCCATGGCACTCTAGGCCGGGCAACAGAGGGAGACTCTGTCTCAAAAAAAAAAAAAAAAAAGCCAGTGGTAAGGAAGGGGACCCAAACAGAAGCAAGGCATATTTAGATTACTTAAAGAGAAAATCTAGGTGGTAAAATGTGGCAATGCTCCTGTGTGGAAAAAAAGAATTAGACTTGGGATTAGGCAAATGCATATATGCTGCTGAGACAGGATTGGTGAGCTTGGGGTGAGGAGAAAGGCTTCTTAGAAGATTAGGAGAGAAAGACTGTTTAAAATGCTTAAAGCACTTAACACCGTGGAGTTAGCACATCTTTAGGGGTGAAACTCTCAGAGACCTGAGAGTGCAGGGGCTCTGAGCCAAGCTAATCCAGCAGCCTTCTGGGCACACGAATGAGGGATCCCAGGCCAGCACTGGAACGTGGAGGGCCTGAGGGTATGAAACCTGAGGCTCTTGACTCAACTCTTGTGTTTCTGCTGCAATATCATGGATTGGGGGGTGACATTAGCTGATGAGAGAGATTTTGGTTGTATAAAGATAGGGTTAACATCAACACAGGTGTATTGGGACTGCTCTCCTCTGCTGACATCATGGAAAACACTCACGCACACACCCCTCCAAGAAGATCAGAGTGAATCCCTCTCACCATATACCATAGCACGGCCTTGGTTGTAAAACAGAACTCCAGTCCGAGGGGCAGAAACAGGATTACCTCTCCAGAGATTTGGATACCGCTTTTTCACAGTTTCAGTATATGCTTAAATAAATAATGGATGAAAGAATTGTAGCTTAGACTAACAAACAACAAGCCCAACAAAAAGCAGGTAAGAAATAAAATAAGGACAACAACTCATAATGTAAAATAAAAATAAAACACCGGTGCATTGTTGCGTGCATTGATCCATTGTTCAAAATAGCAACCCCAGTGCATTTAACAAATATTTCTTGAGTGTTTGCTGTGTAGCAGGCACAGGTCTGGGCACCGGCACACAGCACAGGGAGCAGGTAAACAAAAGCCCCTGCCCTCAGGGAGCTTGTATTATAGAGGGAGCTACATGTCACCGCCCATTAAAATACGATTCTTATGATCCACCCTCCGCCCAGGTTTTGGTGGAAATTTAACTAGGTTGGCATGTTGATCATTATCTCCATTCATTTTGGGGTATAATTTTAATGAAGGTTGCTTTTTGGTTTTTAGGGAGAAGAAAATGGCTTTCCAGACAGTACTGGAGATCCCCTTTCAGGTAAACGATGGACTCTAAAGATACCTGGGCTGCAGTGATAGCTAGTGTGGCTACATTAAAGATAGTATTCAAGACTGTTTATCGTTAACTTTTAAAATCTATATTGCAGACTAGAGCAACTTTGCACACTTCACGCCAGGGCAAACCGCAGGGGAAGGTGTAGCTTACAAAATTTCACAAAAGCCTTCAAAGAATATTTATTATTTTCTCTGAACTCACCCTCCTTTGCTTGTGAGGGGCACAGAAGGGTTCCGAATTGGGCAGGTTTAGGCCAGAGCCACAGTCGGGACCGAGCAGCCCCTTCCTCTCCTGGTGAGTTTGTCATTGCCATTTGTTGCCTGGCGGAAGAGAGTGGCTGCCCTGGGACTTCAGGCACACCAAGGTCAGCTGGGCCATCTCTCTCTGGCACTTGCATAGCCAAAGGGACCTGCCTGATATTAAGTCATGTGCTACTCTCCACTCCTTTTGGTTAGTGTGTTTAACCAAAGAAACACTGAAGTTTATTTCTCTTCCCTCCCCAAATTTTTTATTATAAGACAGAAACTTCGACAGTGTTTATTTAGATTTCTTGCTAATTAATCACAGGGAAGATACAGAGCGAGCATTAAAACAAGTTAGCAAAATAATAATTTTTAAAAACTCCAAAACCCCACCAACATTTTCTATATTGTTTAAAACACATATTGAATGATCTGAGTCGTCAGAGTTTTGTTTGTTTCTTTCTTTTTTAAGGGGGCTGAGGGACCCATGAAACCCTCTGGGGCAGCTACAGTCAGCCCACATAATCAATCGGGAAAATCAGAACGTGCATATGTGCTCACCTTTTTTTTTCCTTAGAAACATGATATTAGAAAATATACCAACATGTTAGCAGCCGTTATCTCTGGGGGTGAGATTCTAGGTGATATTTTTTTAATGCAACAGATTTTTATTTAAGGGCACACTGTGTGCTAGGCTCTCTGAGGAGGCCCTGTGGCAAAAGGATAGCTCTGGGGGGACAGAAGTTGGGGTTCTGGTTCCAGTTTGGCCGCCACATGGCTGCGATATGAGAAGTCAAGGGAGACACTGGGCCAGGTGAGCTTCAGGTAGACACTTACCACTGGGTTTCATAGGACAGGTGCAATGTCCAGGGTCCCATCTGGACACCCCACTGGGACTTGACTTCTTTAGACCACACCCTGCCCCTTCCAGAGGCCTGGCCCTGGCTGATAGGACTCCCTCTTCTAAAAATGCTGCAGCGGACACAGGCTCAAATTAGAAGTCCCTAATTGGATGATGTGGGAAAGTGGAATGTGTCTTTGCATACAGAGACAATTTTAATTTGCTTTCCACTATCCTGTATCTCTAAATGTTCTAACATGAGCTGGTATCAGAACCCCTCCCCCATCTAATCCGTGTATACAAATGTATATATAACAAATGATCAGATGTAGGCAGATACACACAATGCATGGTGAAATAACCAAGGAAATCTCTGAAAGGTTAATTGTGATGGGTCTGGGTAGTGGGAGCATGAATTTTTTTCCCATTTACTCGTATGAATTTTCAGATTTTCTGTGACAAGCACATATTTTTTTCTTTCTTTTTTTGAGACAGGGTCTTGCTCTGTTGCCCAGGCTGGTGGAATGCAGTGGTGTCATCATAGCTCACTGCAACCTCCAACTCCTGGGCTCAAGGGATCCTCCTGCCTCCGCCTCCCGAGTAGCTGGGACTATAAGCATATGCCACCACGCCTGGCTAATTTTTTTATTTTGTATTCTGTTTTCTTTGCAAACACTAATTTGGCACAGACTGGGTACCAGGCACTCTCTGAACACTTGACAAATGTAAAGCTTGGGATAGCCCTGTTATCTCTTCACCATAGAGATGTGGCGGCTGAGGCAGCACTCGGTCACTCGGTCACACAGGAGGAAGTGGGATTCGAGGCCCGGGCCTGGCCCTGAGCCAGCTCCCAGCGATCACACCAGGCTGCCTCTACCTCCCTGCAGACATGTCAAGCGTCCTACAAGGGGGTGAAATTTAGACAGAGCTAAAGTCCACCTCCACCCTCCCAAAAGTCCATCTCTGGGCTGCTGAAATACCTTTCACAGCAGCTTGCTACTTACCCTGGCTGAGACCCTGGGGCCTTCACTCAGAGCCTCGCTTTCATTTAATTCTTGTCATTTGAAAACCTTCGCTATCTGAGATCCAGTCTACAGCTGGTTAAAATAAGCCACATGGGGAAGCTGGAGGGCACTACCGAGAAAGGACACTGGATAGGAGTGAGGAATGACAGCTGACAGTTTGTAACCAAGGAAAGAGAAAGAACACAATTCAGAACGTGTTCCCACTGGGAGCCACTGAATACAGACGCGAACAGCGCCCAGGCAGAGCACAAGAAAGTAAAAGACTTTGCCACTGATGCCCTGGGTTAAAACAACAATAATAAATTTTGTCCGGTTTACCCTGCTAAAGGAGATGTTAAAGTTTGACTATGTTTTTATACCAATTTTCAAAATGAAAACATTTGGGCATTAAAGGAATAAAACTCAGTAATATACATATATATTTTAAAGATTCTCCAAGTTGGAAGATTTTTATTTCCCCACTGCTCCCAATAAATTGAAGCATCATTTTTATATTTAAAAACTGAAGAAGGAATTGAAGAAAAACCCTGGTTCTGGTGCTGCTTTCTGGTGGCAGTGTTATGACATGTCCCCTGACCCTGCCACACCTATTGCAGGTGTTTCTAGGATGGTTTTCTGGTGACGTTGCATAATTTAGCACTTGCCTAATAATCTAACTTTCCCATAGACGTGAATGTGAAATAGGATTTTCTGTTTTTTCCAAATTAGGTCCATAAAGTGACACTTGGTTAATATGTTTGTGTTATATCGTTTCAGAACGACATGATTCGAATTCGCATAAAATTCTTTGCTGAATTTTAACCTGGGTCCTTTCATATGGGAGTTGCTTCTTCTTTCATGTGTCTTCTACATTCCAATTTTGTGAGATGACAAAATTGAGGCCCAGTGTGATTTCCTTGCCTGGACCCACCCAACTTGTCAGTTAGACTCCCCAGTGCTGCCGCCAACTTGATGTCTCCTTAAAAGGGTGTTTTAGAGAGAGAAAATGAAACCATGTTGTTTTTCCCTTTGGTTAAGGATCAAACGCCCACCAAAAGCCCTTGGGTCAGTTTCTCAGTAGATAAAAATAATTCTTCATCCCTTTCCAGCTCCTAGCATGTAACTTACCTCTGATGAATAATGTAGCGTGCATCCCAATGCAATGGTTTATCAAAGCCAGTAACTGACATTTTAAATATGTTTTTCTCCAACCACATTGGAAACCACACGCAGAAAAAAAAGCATGAATTTATCCCCATAATAAGCACGACTTATTATGGGACTCTACTTTGACACTTGTTGGTATTTTGCAGGCTTCAAATCTAATAATGTATAGACACCCGGGATAACGTTATTTTATTTCAGAACCACAATACTTTGCTGTCTCTAAAGATGCCAATATAAAATGTTTACTCCTTAATTGTTTTGAATTAACTCAAGACCTCGTTATCCTGGGGAACACTTGTAAGTGATTTGAGAGCTGACTGTGGTCCTGGAACACACTGCAGGGAAACACTGCCATGGTAATAGCTCTCCAAAAGCCAGAGTGTGCAAGATGAAAGGGCACCTCCCCTGCAGGGAGACACATTAAGTCAATCTGTGATCCACTGCCAACACCCTGGCTGGAGCCATTGCTAGGCTCAACTAATCATGACCTTGGTGAATTCTGAATCTTGTTCCAGTTCACAATTAACTGTTAATTGACCGGTATTTTATAACCTGCCAGCCCCATACTTAAGAGTTAGACATGGTACCACTGGACATTAACCCTCTCTTACTTTTTTTTTTTTTTTTTTTTTGAGATGGAGTCTTACTTTTTTGCCCGGGCTAGAGTGCCGTGGCATCATCAAAACTCACTGCAACCTCAAATGCTTGGGCTCAAACAATCCTCCTGCCTCACCCTTTCAAGGAGCTGGGACTATAGTCATACATCACCACACCCAGCTAATTTTTCTATTTTTTGTAGAGATGGGGTCTTGCTACGTTGCTCAGGTTGGTCTCGAACTCCTAGCCACAAGCAGTCATCCCACCTAAGCATCCCAAAGTGCTAGGATTATAGGCATGAGCCATCACACCCAGCCTGCAATTGTTTTAAATGACATCAATGAGCATGCTTGATTCCTGAAATCTTCTTTAAAGTATAATGTATGGTGTTGGCCAGGCACTGTGGCTCATGCCTGTAATGCCAGCACTTTGGGAAACCAAGGCCAGAGGATCGCTTGAGGCCAGGAGTTCGAGACCAGCCTGGGCAACATAGTTAGATCCTGTCTCTAACCCTGGCAAAAAATGTATTCGTGAGAAAGGATGAAGAGGAAGGAGAGAGAGAAAGAAAATGCCCCGTGGGAAAACCCACTCATCTGCTTGTGAGTGTGAGGAAACATGGTGTATCCAAGAATTCTTAATCACCCAGCAGACACAATAGCTCCCAAAGAGAAGTGGTTGTAATTCCAAAATCTAACTTTGGCAGGCCCACCCGACTAAGTACTTAGTACTTATTCTGTCGAATGTCTTTAAGGCGGGCAGCGGTTTTCAATCCTGGCTGCACATTAGAAATCCCAAGGGAGCTTTTAAAAGATCCCCACGTCCTGCCTGCACCCCAGACTAATTAAATAAGGATCTCCGAGGGTGGGACCAGACATCAGGGTTTTGCAGACTTCCCCCCAGGTGGGGGTGGGTTTCTATCCTGCTGCCCAGGTTGAGAACCACTGCTTTTCAAAAGGCTGTGGGTTATTAACACTTGCCCACGGCTATTCTGTTCATTGTTGCCTGCTTACCATGTGCAAGGAGGGAGCTTTAATGGATTATCTCATCTAATCCTCACAACCACTTTGTGAGAGATGTGTCATTATCCCTGTTCAGAGAGTGAGACGTGGGTTTAGCAAGCTCAGTAACCCGTCCAAATCGCACATCTGCAAGGGGTTAGCTGCCTCTAAAGCTCATGCTGTTAATCTCCACGGTACACAGCGCACTCCTTCTCCATAGCAACCGGTAATCTTTTGTCAGCCTCGTGTGTATGTGCTCAGTTAGCACTGAAAAAAAAATTGTCAGTTGGGGCCAGGTGCGGTGGCTCATGCTGTAATCCCAGCGCTTTGGGAGGCTGAGGCAGGAGGATCTCTTGAGGCCAGGGGTATGAGACCCCATCTCTTAAAAAATTTAGCCCAGCTCGGTGACTCATGCCTGTAGTCCCAACTATTCGAGAGGCTGAGGTGGGAGAATCATTTGCACCCAGCAGTTTAAGGCTACAGTGAGCTATGATGATGCCACTGCACTCCAGCCTGGGCGACAGAGTGAGATCCTATCTCTTAAAAAAAAAAAAAAAATGTCAGTTGGTTGGAAAATTTCTAGATAGCTTTTCATGGGCTGCCCAGAGGTTTCTAATTTGACTATTTCTTTATATCACAGTCTTCATTCATTTGATTTATTCAACAAATATTTCTTGAGTACCGGTTGTGTCCTGGGCATACAGTGGTGACATCAGACATCAAAGTCATTTTCCTCTTGGAGCTTATATTTCAGTTGGGAGAGGCAGACAATAAACACAAAACAAGTATTTTCATATGGTGGTAGGTGCCTTGAGGATAGCAAGCAAGGGGGATGGGATTGGGGCTGGCAGGGGAAGGTGCCACTTAAGCTAAGAGGGGCACCAAGACCTGAACAATGCAAAGAAGCCAGCCGTGTGGCAATCTGAGAGAGGGCTCCGGGGAGAGGGACTTTTTCTACCCAGTCAGAACTGGACTCTAGCCAGCAGTTGGGGTACAGAGAACTGGGTCCAGTCTCCACAAGGTTGGGTGGGATCTGGGCTGGGTCAGTTGCTGCTGGAAGGCAAAGAAGATGAAGATTAAGAACATCGTGAGGCGTGGAGGCAGCAGGTTTTGAATTCTCGTTCTAGAAATTTAATGGTGAATTAAAGAGCAGAAAGAGAAAGTGGCTTCAGCAAGTTAGTTATAAAGCCAGAAGAGGGTAGTTTGAGGTTCTTATTTTTTAGGATAGAGGATACATATACTTAATTGTAGATAAAGGAGAGAGAATCAGTACAGATGGGCGGCTGAAGGTGAAAGAAGGTTTCATTTGATGAAACACATCACAGAGAAGATAGGAAGGGGTAGACTCAGAAGTGTAAGCACAACTTGGAAAAGAGGAAGGATACTCCACTGATAAGTCTTCTTTATCCTAAACTAGATATTTGTCAATGTAATACATTGTTTTAATTATCACAGAAACATAACACCACAAGAGAAAGTTTGGAAAACACAGAGAACATAATCCTACCATATTGACACAGTAGCTATTATTATTTGTCTATTTCCCCCATAGTAATATTAACTTGCATTTTCACATGGTTCTAATCATAGAATACATACATTCTTTCTATCTTGCATGTTTCACTTAACATCACATTTTCTAGGTTGCTATGTAGTCTTTATAATTACTTAAATAATATTCCATCAAGTAGTACAATAATTTATTTCACTAGTCCCGCTAACTTTAGGCATTTAAGTTGTTTTTAAAAACAGATATTGTAAACCTGGCATACTGTCTCATGCCTGCACTTCCAGCTCCTTGGGAGGCTGAGACAGGAGGATTGCTTGAGGATAGGAGTTCGAGACCAGCCTGGGCAATATAGCAAGACCCCATCTCTAAAAACTGATGATATAAATAAACACTGTAATAAAAATATTCACGTATATACATATTTTGGATTATCTCCTGAGGCAGAGTCCCAGAAGTCACATTAATAGGTAAAAGAGTAGGAGCATAATTTTCGTGGCTCTTGTTTTATGACCTTTTAATTTGTACTTGCTGGTTCTCAACTTTAAGAACACCGAAGTGACTCCCTCTGTCCAAATCCTTTCCTAAATTGAGAAGGCCACAACGCAGTGTAATATCACATGTAGTAAAAGTCATCATAATTTCCCCCAGAATTTTCCAAGCCAGTGATCTCTAAATTAGCCTTTGGCCGTTAAAATCCAAATTCAGAGGACTCATGAGACTCTGTGTTGTTGCAGAATTTAAGCTGTTTAATTTGCCGTGTTGTGTAGACACCACTTAATACTTTAAGTGACTTGCTAAAACCTCTTCCCTACTGACTTCATCCTCCTACTAACAATCCTCCAAGTAATAAAATGAGCCTTAAGACGACTGAATTGTCAAGACCCAGCAAGAGGGATGCCTGGGTGGGAGTGTGCTGCTGCCGTTCCCTGCCTCTTTCTCTTCCACTGCACACACCCCAGGGTGTTGGCTCCCCTTCAAAGAGATCCCCGAGGGTGAAGAAAGCACAGATAAAGGCACACAGGAATGATAAGGTGGCCATAAATTTAAACAGTCAGTTTTCTGGCACTATCAATTATCACTCCTTTTCAAATATGTATATGGAGTGGATATTCCAGTTTCCATTTTTGCATGTGTGTGGTTTTTTTTTTTTTTTTTTTTTGAGACAGAGTCTCGCTTTGTTGCCCTGGCTAGAATGAGTGCCATGGCATTAGCCTAGCTCACAGCAACCTCAGACTCCTGGGCTCAAGCAATCCTCCTGCCTCAGCCTCCCGAGTAGCTGGGACTACAGGCATGCGCCACCATGCCCGGCTAATTTTTTCTCTCTATATATATTTTTAGTTGTCCAGATCATTTCTTTCTATTTTTTGGTAGAGACGGGGTCTCACTCTTGCTCAGGCTGGTCTTGAACTCCTGACCTTGAGCGATCCACCCGCCTGGGCCTCCCAGAGTGCTAGGATTACAGGCATGAGCCACCGCGCCTGGCCACATGTGTGTGTTTTTTAAAAAGACCTTTTAAAGCATTGTGCAATCCTTTACACCCTAACATGCTGTGTTTGGTGTTAAGAAGCTGTCGGGGCTGACGGGTAACTGGGAAGGGAAAGGGCTGAGGTGCATGCTGCAAGTGTAGGCTGGTTACTCGTGGGCACGGTGGACTCTGAGCCCTGCTGGACTGACAGTCTGCTCACAGACAGAGCTCTGTTCCTCATGCTGGCCGGCAGTGTCCCAAATGCACACTGTAAGACACAGAGAATCTCAGAGACAAAGGGAAATTGGCTTTATAAAATCTTACTATTGCTTCTAGCAAAGCAACCCGTCCTTGGCTATAAAGGATAACACATTATTAGAAATGAGTATTCTGAAATAGACCTCTATAAGATAGGCTGTGTTATACTCAGACCGAATGCTGTTGACAATTCAGCAGGAAAATAAAGGAGGTGAGAAGTGAACACGTATGTTAAGCCTCTTGTTGACGTGTGCACCATGTTGTTTCTTCCCGTAGACATCAGCAAGGACAAGTCCTGCAAAGAAAACTGCACTTGTTCCTCCTGCGCGCTCCGGGCTCCCACCATAAGTGACTTGCTCAATGATCAGGACTTACTAGATGTGATCAGGATAAAGCTGGATCCGTGTCACCCCACGGTAAAGAACTGGAGGAATTTTGCAAGCAAGTGGGGCATGCCCTATGATGAGCTGTGTTTCCTGGAGCAAAGGCCGCAGAGCCCCACGTTGGAGTTCTTGCTGCGGAACAGTCAGAGGACGGTGGGCCAGCTGGTGGACCTCTGCAGGCTCTACCACAGGGCGGACGTGGAGAAGGTTCTGCGCAGGTGGGTGGATGAGGAGTGGCCCAAGAGGGGGCGTGGAGACCACCCAAGGCACTTCTAGAGCTCTTCTCCTTCCTTCTGTAGCCTCTCGGAACATTGAAACAAGCAGGTCAAGGAGGAACATGGATCTGTTCTAAGAGTTTAGGATAAGGACGTGGAACGGCGGACATTGGTTTTCCCCAAAGCTGGTGGTTTTGTGGGGGGTGGGGTAGGGTTTTATTGTGGTGGTGGATATTTGTTTGTTTATTTTTGCACATCTGTTTTAATTTAATATTTGAATCTGGAATTGGGAAAAAAATATTTTGTGCACCCATATAGGGGCCAAAGCCTACAATCAGAATGGATTCATGCCATGATCAAAATAAAATTATCCTCTCCCTTAAATACTGCTGAAGATGTCAGTAGGACCTGGGACTGTTCATGGCCCCAGATATACATCAGGGGTGGATATGCATCATCCCATGTAAGATCCTTCATGATCAATGGCATTCCCATGGCTTAGAAGGAAACAAGGAGAAATTTCCCTGTTTTGTTGGGTTGTTACTTTTTTTGTTATAAAGTGCTTCGGTGAATTAACAAGATGCTGGTATTATGTGGCAATACCCTTCAGAACATACGCACTACCTTTTTTATTCAAATACTTGTTATAATCTGTGGACCACCAACAATGTCATTTGCTCAAGTATTTTTAAAAGAAATATAGAAATTGATGGTTATTGGGAGGACAGAGTCAGGAACTAGTGGGGTGATACGGCCATGGGAGTGGTGTTTGACAAAGAAAATACTCAAAACTCCCTTTTGTTACCCAGGACTTTTAAAAAATTAATTTAGTACTGAGTGCCTCACCCCCGAGATGAAACTCAGTTAAGAAATAAATAAAAATCCCATGGCCCATTGGTGAAATGTACCACGTCTGGCACCTACTGTCCCAGCTTCAAACAGAACCTCGTGACACTACACAGCAGTTCAGCCAAGAACGAGGAATCTTTATGTTGTTGCTGGGAGGGTCAAATTCAAATTTTAAAGGATTTTAAACCAGATGAAAAATTTGTTTCAAAGAATATCTAATGTTCTTATTTGATGGTATGGGGGAAGGAAAAATGTGGGAGATGGGAGGGTTTGTTATTGGAAAGGTCTTTTGGGGAAAAAAGAGATAAAAGACAAACCCTTGGTTTAGTTGACAATTCTATGAAAGTTCTGTTTGATTTTGACTATGGGCTTAGAAAATTAAGGCACTTTGTTCAATTTGGGGGGATTCTGTATAAGTCCCTGATTAAAGTAAGCAAAAATGATGAATAACACTGATTACGTACAATGGAAGGATTAGGGTGAACTCAAAACTACTTTGTAAACTACCGTTTTTTCCCACTAACAATCATGGTGGTTGTCAGTAGGTTGCTGATACATCACGTCAGCTTCCTCATCAGATGTAAACTCTATACCAGCAAAATCTGCTGCAGGGACTCACTCATCACTTCTGAGTCAGTGCTGATCTTACCCAGCTCATCTTATATTGAAAGTAACAGCCAGTGACAAAATGTAGAGATTTGGAAAAACAGATTGTTTGGCAGATTGGTGTTCAGCAAGGTCGCTGTTAAATACTTATTGTCAGCCAGGTTCCAGGCCCTGTACAGGTTTTGTTAGGGAGAGTTCTAGTCTTCTACGAATTTGATTTGTTGTATCACATTCTCGAATTTGATTTGTTGTATCACATTCTCGTTAAGCTACATATGACACACGTTCTCACTTATTAACCCAGAATTTACTGTGGGAAAATGGAAAAGGGATTTTGGCATTGTGTTTTCTTTTTTGTTTTGTTCTGTTTGAGACAAGGTCTTGCTCTGTCGTGCCAGGGGTGGAGTGCAGTGGTCATCACAGCTCACTGCAACCTTCTACCTCAGCCTGCCTAGTAGCTGGGACTACAGGTGCACACCACCATGCCTGGCTAATTTTTTTATTTTTTGTAAAGACAGGGTGTCTCTTTCTTGCTCAGGCTGGTCTTGAACTCCTGGCCTCAAGCGATCCTCCCACCTTGGCTTCCCAAAGTGCTAGGATTACAGGCGTGAACCATTGCACCTGCACTTTGGCATTCATTTTTGACATTTTAGGGAAATGGCACTAACACAGTTGTGATTATTTAGTGTTGTGTCATACCAGACCTTCAGCAGTGCGGCGGGCATCGCTCCTGTCCTGCCACCCCCGGGGAATGTCAGTGGATCCCAGGCTGACAAGTGTCCTGTGTGCGGCTGCTGGCCAGGTGCCTCCCAAAAGCCCCTTCCTTCTCCCATCTCCACCCAGGCCACTGTGTCACCTCAGCCCAACAGCCACCATTGAAGCAGCGGTAGAGAAGAAAGGGCATGAGAGTGGGAGGGAAACCCCCTTAATGTTCCCTTTCCCCCCTCTCACCTCTGGGCCTCCACCTCCCCCAGCGACAGAAAAGAAGGAAGAGCAGGTGGGACCTCCACCCCCGCCTCCAGCCATCCCACTTCCCATGGAGGGAAGAGGGGAAGGTTTCCCTTATTTCCAGAGAGGACTCCACCTCAGAGTGACCAAGGGCAGAGGCCCAGCAGGAAGAAAGGACGCCCTGGGGGAGGAGGGCATTGAAACAGCACTCACCCCACCACCCTGCCCTCCCTCCCTTGCCACCCCTGTCCTTTCCTGGTCTTCGCACAAGTCCTCAGCTCAGCGGAAGCCCTGCTCTACTCAAAGCCACAGGGCCCCCGGCTCGGTGGCTCATGCCGGTAATCCTAGCACTCTGGGAGGCTGAGGCGGGAGCATCACTTGAGGTCAGGTGTTCAAGACCAGCCTCAGCAAGAGTGTGACCCCCGTCTCTACTAAAAATAGAAAAATTAGCTGGGTGTGGTGGTGCGCATCTATAATCCCAGCTACTTGGGAGGCTGAGGCAGTAGGATTACTTGAGCCCAGGAGTTTGAGGTTGCTGTGAGCTAGGCTGATGCCACTGCACTGTAGCCTGGGCGACAGAGCGAGACTCTGTCCCAAAAATAAAATAAATAAATAAATAAATAAACAAAGTTGATTTACAGCAAATAAGTACTACAATAGCATAAACATGCTGATACTTTACAAAGGCGAGAGTGGAAAGGAAGACAGTTACTTTATGACTAATTGATCAAATAATTGTTAAAATTTAAGTTCATTAATACTTAAGAGCTTGGCTCATAATTCTGTCTGTAGAGATCCATGTTAAGTTAGCCACACTGTAGACTAAACTGCTTATAATGAGGTTCTTTTGCTATTAGCAAAGCTGCATTAGAAGCCACTCGCACCCACACACACACACACACACACACACACACACACACACACACAGAGGAGCAGGGGGTCTTGAACAAGGTACATGGTATTTAAAATTGTAAGGTTTTAAATTGTTAGGGCTTAAATCGCCCTAGGATTTCCCACCGATACTCAAAAGATAAACTCAAGTCACCTATTTTTGTGGCACTAAATAATAATTATTCAGCAGCATAGAAAATTTGTAGTACTAGACAAAGGATGCCGTGCCCTGGTTTTTCCTTAATAGGAATTCTTGTGTGGCACCGCCCTCTGCTGGAGCCCACGAGCTATACACACAGCCCTTCTGGCCGGGCTGCCATCCTTTTTAATTCTTGGTTGCATGTTAGAATCCTTATGAGTAGCCCTGCCAAAAGACAGAAAGTGCGGTTGTTTTACAGATTGGCAAATAGAAGCAGAATGAGGCCAGCATCATCGAGATGAGGGTTCCAGCCGTGGATGTGCCCTGTCATTCATCACCCGGTCATTCAGATCAAATGTGTGAGCAGCTCCAATAACAGTTCCATACTGTGGGAATTTTTATTTTTATTTTGTTTCCACACACAGCATCAAACAGGCATTATTTTTAAACACTCAGTAGGACTTTTCCCTTTTCCTCCACGTAGATTTAGGGTTAACTAGCCATTTGTGGATTTTTGGTCTCTTTCCCTTTCAATTTAACATCAGAGGAGGTGGTGGTCCTGAACAGCAGTGGCTGTAAAATTAAATGGCAGAGGGATTGATCTCCCTTAGTTATAGCAAACATTAACTTAGAGCGATAGCTCTGCCCTTCCTCTATAATACACAATAATACAAAAACAGGTTGTTGGCTTTTTTGGTAGAGACAGGGTCTCATTCTGTCACCCAGTCTGGAGTGCACTAGCATGATCATAGCTCACTGCAGCCTTGAACTCCTGGGCTCAATCGATCCTCCTGCCCCAGCCTCCCGAGTAGGTGGCACTACAGGCATGCGCCATCACCCCAGCTAATTTTTCTATTGTTGGTAGAGACAGGGTCTTGCTCTTGCTCAAGCTGGTCTCAAACTCCTGACCTCAAGCGATTCTCCCACCTCGGCCTCCCAAAGTGCTGGGGTTACAGGTGTGAGCCACCTTGCCCAGCCCAAAAATATGTTCTTTTAAGTACAATATTAAAAGTAAGCTCTGGCAAATTTTCTCTCCCCTTCCTTTCCTTTTTAGATGAGTTTGATTCATTTAGTTCAGAGCAAAGACTATCCTTCTTATAACACTTTTTTCCCTCTTCTACCCTCCTTGTTTTGTAATTTTCCTCTCCTTTGGGTCCACACTGTGGCTCTGTGTGTTGCTTTAGAGCCAGTTACTGTTTCTCAAATCATATTTCCTCTATACCTGTGGCCTCCTCCTCCAAGCCACAGGCTAACCTCGGCTTCCTTTTTCCCTTACTGTTCATGTTGGATTGTCTTTCATCTTTAATGACACTTTAGGCCTAATATTAAAATAAAACTGCTTTTCTACCCTTCTAACAAAACACACATATCTACACACACCCAAAGCGGTGATTGAACAATGCTCTCCCCCTTTGTTCTCTGATGTCTGACTTGGGAGTTCAAACTCCGCCTTCAGACCCTGCACACTTGGTTGTAAATGGATGAGGGTGGGTCTTGCTGTTTCTGTGTTAGAGCAGGTTGCAGTGGAGATGCTGGGCTACAGTGCTGGGCCTATTGGTGCCCCAGGGCGTGAATGCCACACCTGGGGGTGCTCACCACCTAGACTGGAAGAACCTGTTTTCTTTCTTCCTGTGGCTGCGGGGGCCATGGGTCCGGTGGCCTGTTCAGCTGGGTATCATAGAAATCAACTCCACAGGTGAACTGAAGAGATCAAAGTAGTCGGTGCCACCTGCAATGAAATGACCAAGTTTATCAACACTTGTGGAAATGTAATATGCTTGTGGATAGCTCTCATAACTTCCTGAGCTGGGCCATGCTCTTGTTTCATGTGACAGCCCAGTGACCATTTTCCTCTGTGGCATGAAGCTTCATGGAGGACGTTTCTTCAGCCGATGAAGGTGGTGATTTTGAACTACTGGATCTTGGTGATGCTCTGTTTGTATATCCTTCGTGCTGTACTTTTTAAGCTGCCTTTGTCTTGATCGCCTGTGTGATTTTTTGCTTTTCTTATAAATAAGATTATTTTTAACTCTAATGCTGGGTGCTACAAAATTAAAGATTGATGTCAATCATTCTAA